CCCTCCCTCCCCTCACTTCCCGGATCAGGTCACGGGTTGGACACCTGTGCGTCGTGAGATATGGCCGTGCCCTTTTATACAAGGGTGGTGCCTGAGCTCATTATTGCATCCCAAACATAAAAAGCGTTTTTAATTTATTGCTGATATTTTAGCGAGCTCCATCCTCCAGCCTCCTCTCTGATTATTGCGCTCCTCGGCGAGGGGCATATCATTACCCTCTCAGCTCCTCCTTAAACTGCAATACACACGAGGCATTGGGTCAGACTGCATCTCAACGATATACGGTCCATTTCGTCGTAGGCGCGCGCGACCATCCAACTTGTTTCGGCTTCTTGAAATTTCTCGGCGTTAAATTCTTTTCCAGTTCCAACTGGTTCCCCTCCCGCCCCGCCGCGCCCCTCCGCTCGCGAGGCGCCCGCCGCCGCCGCCGTGGTGCCGTGCCGTGGTCGTCAGCTTCCAGCCATCAGGATGAGGTTATCTCGTTTTAGTATCGCCTTAGACAGAAAAGAATGCGGCTTGGCTTGAGTCTGAAAGCTGAATCAGATTATCCCGTTCCGATCCAATGTGCACACGTGTGGGGACATCCTGCTCGAAGCTGGTGATGTCGCGCGGCGACGCGAGGCGAGGCGCGACTGGACGACTGGACCCGGGCCGGACCCGCGGCCGGCGCCGCGCTGTCGCCCCAAACTCCCGCCAAAATAAAACGTTTGCCTGACTTGACTGTCCTTTCTTGTTGTCCGCCACCAGGCTGCGAGTATATGGGCAGGACCTACGCGAGCGGCGAGGAGTGGAAGGACCCTAGCAACCCGTGCCGCGTCTTCTACTGCAAGGCGGGGGTGGTCACCGAGTCCGAGGAGGTCTGCTACGTGCCGTGCCCCCAGTCGCTGCCGCCCGAGCCGGGCCAGTGCTGCCGGACCTGCCCAAGTGAGTGAGGGTGGTAGAGCCGAGTGCTCTGCATCACTAAAAGCTGCAGGTGAAACCCGCCGTTAGCTTTTAACAGTGTGGAAGACTACAAACCTTGTTTCTGTTTTCAGCGTGCCCGATGAGTGAGAAGGACCGCGACAGGGACAGCAGGTCCGTGACGCTGGCCGAGGACCCGTGCGTCAGCTGCCAGTGCCGCGGCGGCCGGCTGGCCTGCTCCAAGAAGGCCTGCCCCGTGCTCAACTGCCCCCAGTCCACCATCGAGCACCTGCCCGGACAGTGCTGCCCCGTCTGCAAAGGTGAGGCCGGGGAGGTCGAGAAGGGCCCGGGGCCTATGGCAGGCGCACGCGCTCGACCCCATCCTCGGCGTCGTGATGGCCGCTGGGCCTAGGCCAGACCACGTCGCCTCCCCGCTGCGAGGCACAACCCCTGGGCGCGAGAGAGAGAGCGCCGCTGCCCGCAGTCTGCGTGACAGAGACGGCCCGCCCTGCCCCCTCCGCCCCAATTGACTGCCGCCCTCTGAATGGCGGGTAATTTGATCAGGCCGTGTGTCTCTGGCGGGGCGCGCCCAGGCGGAGGGGAGCGGGGCCGCCCGTCTGGAATGCGTCTTCCTCCCTTCCGGCATATTTCATCATCTTTATCGGACCATCTCCCCGCGACGTGGCCGTCAACAAGGACCCTCCCGGGCCTGGACCGCTGCGGAGGCTGGAGTTTGCCAGAGCGATACTCACGACCTTCTCTCTCTCTATTTTCTCTCCACAGGCAGCCGGCGCCTGATCTACGAGCTGCCGACGGGCAGCTGTCTGCTCGGCACCGAGATGAAGGCCTCCGGGAGGTCGTTCCACGTGGACCACTGCACGACCTGCGCCTGCGTCAACGGCACGTCGCTCTGCCGCCGGCCGTCGTGTCCGGCGCTGGACTGCCCCGCCGAGCAGCAGGTGACGGCGCCGGGCCAGTGCTGCTCCACCTGCACGCCCGCGCTCGAGAGCAGGGCCGCCTGCACGCTCAGCGGCCAGACCTACCAGGTGAGTAAGGAGCGTGGAGGAGCGCACGGCGGCGCGGCACCCGCGGCGGCCTCGGCCTCGGGGCGCCTGGGGCTGCGCAGGTAGGCCGACCCGCCTGACACCGGTGGGCGCCGGGATGACTACCCAGCGGGGTGCACGGGGACCTCAGCGCTCCGCCGGGCCGAGGCTTTTAGCGATGCAGGGAATATCACACCGCAAGTTCAGGGCGCTCAATATGAGGACTAGGCCCGGTCGGCAGCATGTAGGGAGGCTTCCGGCTGCGGACGGGTGCCGCTCGGCCAGGCCAGCCGTACGGTGTGCATGTGAACGTGTGTGTGTGTAGGG